ATCTGTGTGTTGAGAAATAGTCGACCTTGAAGAATTCTCATGATTTAGACAAAAATCTTCAGGCATAACTGTTCGAACGCATCATGGGAAGCAGACTGATTATTACAGTAAGTGACTTGCCAGAAAAATAGATCATCTTGTGTAAATAAAGCAGCATAAAAATAGAGAGAGGCCCTTAAAAATGTAGAATAGCGGTATAAAAGGAGGGAGGGATGACACATTTTTCTCCCTGCTTGTAAAATGTTTCCTTTTTTGGGAGGGGGTGTATTTTATTTGGACAGTAGGGGTTGGTGTCTTTCATATGCAGACAGCATAGAACAGAATGACAAACAAAGACCCCATTTCCTTCTTATTATACGCCTGTTCAAGTTAAGACCAAGTCTTTTGTCATACTGCTCATAACTTCTGTTACACTCAAGATAATTCCAAGAAATTTCATACACATATGCATCTTAACATAGATGGTGTCATGTACACTTTTCATCACTCCATCTCAAAGGTCAAGGTCACAAATCAAGGTTGGAGTTAAAACAAGGTCTTTGGTTGCCCTGCCAATAACTTCTGATGCACTGAACAAAACTTGATACACATACTGTATGTACCACCATTAAACAGCTTTTTGCATAATCTTTATTTTATCACCCTAGTTCTAAGTTGAAAGTCACTAATCAAAGTCAAAGGTTAAAAAGATCTTTGCTTGACCGAGCTATGGCTATAGATTGCTGTATAATAGTTTTTTAACAGGCGTATAATGCGCTGTATGCGGCACTCTTGTTTAAAAAAATGCACAGATCTTGAGTCTACATTACAATTCATTTTTAATCCACAATTCTTTATCCATTTCTGAATAATTTGAAATAGCAACATTATCTGCTACCATGCTCCGTTTAAAGTTAAATGTATATGCTGTGTCTTGTCCAAATAGTAGCCCTGATTTGTTGCAACATATTGATCCTTATGTATGTATATATATATATATATATTGAGTGCTTTTAATTTTCGGGTTATCTATTAGCATTTTTTACATGTATAAATCCTCTTTTTTTATGTAAAGACAAGTCTTGTCAACAAAAGTCTTATCTGCAACTTAAAGAATAATTACCTGAAGCATCAAAAGAGCACCCATGTGACTACAATAAATACAAAGAACTAGCAACACTTAAAAACCTGCAATAATTATACATCAAGATAATTACTTTGGGTCAAATAATATGTTTAATTATAATATTTTATATTCTGAATGTAAAACAGCAGCATTTCCATTTTACAAACTTTTTTACAGTTTGTAAATTTAAATAATCTATCCATTTTCTTTACCCGCTTCTCCTTTCCTGGTCACGGGGAGCTGCTGCCTGTCCCCAGCAGTACACCATGGATAGGTTGCAAGTCCATCACAGGGACACATAAATGAGACAAACAACCATTAACACTTTCACACAAAGAACCATTTTTATGATTCTTACTAAGTGTTATTTAACCGGACAAATCTATTTGAGGTCACTGATCCTTTTTGCAAGGGAGGCCTGGGCCTGAAAGCATCCTAACATGCATGTTTTTAGACTGTGGGAGGAAAGTGGAGTACCCAGAGAAACATTTAAACTCCCCACAGAAAGATGCCAGGCTCAGTCCAACGATTGAACCCTGAAACTTCTTGCTGTGAGGCAGCTGTGGTAACCACTAAGTTGTCCTGCTGCCCAAATATAGAATTATTTAAATAATCTATAAATTCAATTTCATCCTCATCACTAGAAGTGAGGATGGAATATGCATTTTGTGAAATTACTGTACCTTTTTTGTGAAGACAGTAGTCCAACAGACCTCCATCATTTCAGTTCTTGTCCTCAGACATACATACAGTAGTAAATATAAGTGTAATACCTTTTTTAATAATAATAAATAAAGTGCTATGTGTTGTTGTATGTTCCCATACAAAGATGAAATTAGTTCTCTACATTGAACCCATCACACCTGGGATACACTCGGGTGGAGCAGTGGGCAGCTATGTAAGCACCTGGGGAACAATTTGGAATTGGGTATCATGCTCAGAGACACCACGAGATGTGCAATGACCAGGGATTGAACCCAGGACCTTCGGGTCCTGAGTGGGCTGCCCTGCCCCTACACAATCTCGGCCCCATAAAATTAAATGTTGGGAAACTGCATGTATTTGAAAGATGCTATTTTGTTGGCACAGTTTGAGGCGCAAATCTCCCTTTGGAGTGGCTTTAAGAATTAAGCGGATGCACAAAATCCTAATTTGCTCCTGCAAAAGCAGTGCAATCATTTGGTTTATTCATGCATCAGTTTGGTAACAATGTGCAGTAGTTTGGTTTTACCTTCTACAATTAGCAACTGAGGAGTAATTGAGTACACATTCATGCAAACTAATTTTGGTACTAGGGACTAAAAGTGCTTCCAATGCAGTTTCTTTTTTGATTGTGCAATCATGTGTGCCTTTAAGGAAGTCCTGTGACCAGCCACATCCCTCTACCTTCCCCCGCTTTTTCCCTGACACAAATCCTTTAGAACCAACACACTCTGGACTAAATGAATTGCCCCCTCTTGCACACCCTTAATCACATTAGCCTAAGTGATATGGGAACGCCAGACCAGACACACACTTCCCCCCACCTCTGTCTCTGTCTTTCAGCTGATACAAGTAGTCACTCCTCCTAAGCGTTTAGTTGTTTTAAGCTTCATCTTTAGACAATAGACCCTTTGCTCCCCAAAAGACCCCAGTTTGGAATAATGAGGATCAAGAAAAGAGTTGTGAAAACAGGAGGAAAGAAATGCAAGAGGGTGGAACAGAGTTGGAGCTGACACTGGGCTAATAACTGCCCCAGGACAAAACCCATCAAAACAGCTGTTTTGTCAGGGTGAAAGGTTATTGTGCAAAATGGCTGCAAATTTCTTGTTATTTACTGTCAGTTACGCAGTGATTGAACAATCCTTGATGAAACTGCCTCATGCTTCGATGGTGGTCTAGCTCGTGTTTGTTTTCATGTGCTGGAAAAATATGACTAGGGAGAGAATTACGTTTGAAGCATAAAGCACATTTCAACCCAGATTTTATAATTAAACGTATTATTGTGAAATCAATGTACAATATAAGAGCTTTGCGCATTTTTTATCAGATGGTTTATATATCATATAAACTTTGATTATATGACCTTGATGGTTATATACATATAACCTTTTTTTGTTTGAGTGCATAAATGTTAAAATCTGAAGTCAAAAACTCAAAAAAAACAACAAACATATGTCTGTTTCAGACTTTCCTTTGTTTTTAAAACATTTATTTAGTTTGTTGTTCAGATTTGTAAAAGCTTAATCTCTTTTCTAGTTAGACTTATTCTGTCTTCTCCATTCTTTGTCATTTAATGTGAAATAACAATGTACCTTGGAGGGAGGGAGGTGCAGTGAGGTGCTCGGTTTGTTAGCAAACGTAACTCTTATGCATTTCACGTTCCCTTCCCACCTGAGGGTCATTAAAGCATTTCACTCTCCCTTCCCTCCTGAGGGTTATTAAGGCATTTTGCTCTCCCTTCACTCTTGAGGGTCATTAAGGCATTTTGCTCTCCCTTCACTCCTGAGGGTCATTAAGGCATTTCACTTTCCCTTCCTTCCTGAAGGTCATTAAGACATTTTGTTCTCCCTTCTCTCCTGAGGTACATTAAGGCATTTCACTCTCCCTTCCCTTCTGAGGGTCATTAAGGCATTTCACTCTCCCTTCCCTCCTAAGGGTCATTAAGGCATTTCACTCTCCCTTCCCTCCTAAGGGTCATTAAGGCATTTCATTCTCCCTTCTCTCCTGAGGGTCATTAAGGCATTTCACTCTCCCTTCCCTCCTAAGAGTCATTAAGGCATTTCATTCTCCCTTCTCTCCTGAGGGTCATTAAGACATTTCACTCTCCCTTCCCTCCTGAGGGTCATTGAGACATTTCACTCTCCCTTCCCACCTGAGGGTAAATAACTTCATTTTTGGCCTGGTTTGCAATGAGGTTGATCAAATGCATAAAGGTGCAACATGCACTGAATCAAAAAATTCAAACTGCATTGTAAGTGCTGGACATTTTTACCACTGGTCTTGTTTGACAGATAAAACTCTTTATGTGCATCTTTCAAAACATCTACTGTATCTTCTCCATCTCGTTTCGAAACATTGCTGTCTTATTGCTGTCTGTAGTGTTTGGTGAAAATCCCATATTCCTCAGTTATTCCAGCAACACATAGGATGACGATATGTTTGTGTCTGTTTTCATTTGGGGTTTTTAGATTTCCTGTCTGAAATAACAAACACTCTGTTAAGATATCCACAGGGTTCAATAGGTTTGTTAGAGTTTGTGTTACTTTTGTCTTTCCTTCTGTCCTGGTGGTTTAATCCTTAGTTTGTGTTCCAGTGGGTGGTGAGAGTCAAATAAAACTGCTTTCTGGATTCTTCTTTTGTAAATGGCCTTCTGTTGCAGCCTGGCCAGCCCGTCTTTTATGAACGAGCCTCTCTTAGTTCTTATCGGCTCTGCTCGGTCTCACTCTGCAATCTGCATCAGGAGGTTGACAGAACTGCGCTACCCCCTCGGTCTATGGGAGATAATGGAAACAAGCGAGATTTGTTTTTTTTTATGTGCTCTTGATTTTGTGAGGGGGTCGGTTAGGTTTCATTTAAACATTTGTTCTGCTGCTGCTGAGCCTTAGACAATCAAATAAAAGTCATGTACAGGAATCAGATTGACGTTAATTCTGTTGATAATTTTTCCCTTAACAAAGTTTAAAATAGATGCACACGTAAGTAACTACGGTATAAACTCCTGTTAGAGGTTAATGACTGTACACCTGATTCATGTCTCTAATCCATCACAGGTCCACACTCGTCTTTTCACTCACTTCTACATTACAGCATGTCCCAGAAGACAAAAAGTCCTTTTGATTGTATGTGCTTTAGCAATATAGTATTCACTAACAACTATTTCTTTCTTCTTTTTTCCTCTCCTTGCCTTCTGAAGCTCATAAATATTTTGCTGCAGGTAAGCACTTACTTTTACTGGATGGTTTGAAGTGTTGTGTTCTGTGCTCCAGAAGACAAAGGACTCAGGTTTATTAGGAATCTGCTGCTTGTTAAAATGACTAGTTGAAACTGCGTGATGTAACTGGGGGGCGGGTGTCGGTGTCTTGGGCATCAACCCCTCGAACTGAGAGACTGTAGGGAGGAACTAGGAGATCAGTGCCACACACGGAGACAAAATAAGGGCTGAGACAAATCCACCGCTGTAAGCTGCTCTTAGGTTTGTGTATTTAGGACCTCCATCTCTACAAGAAGCTGTCAGAAACTGGTTTAAGGGTAATTTTTGTTATAGGGGAACGAAAATGTTTGTTCAGGGGTTTGTTTTGATAGAGACTTGCGTAAGTGAGCTGTTTCAGGATACGTCCTCAACCTGTTCACCTGCCGCAGGAGAGTAAACCATGTTCAGTTTGCAGCTCTGCGCATGATTCCTCTGCCTGCTGAAAGAGTCTGCGCCCTTTAATTTGATCTAAAGTGCATGCAGGTAATTTGCTGTGGTACGCCACTGTGATAAATCCTCATTAAGGTGCAAAAGATAAACAAGCGTCATCTTTTGCTCTTTGAGATGTTTCTTTGTGCATTTTTAGACATAAATAAGAAAAAAGTAAAAGAGGTTAATTTCAAATTTTCATTTAATTCATTTACTTATCAGAACAGTGCACATTAATCAATATTATTTGAATGCATCAAAATTAGCACAGTAGCTAAAGATGTCCGCATTTTCTTCATGAAATGTATTTGCAGACATTCGGGATCTTCATTCTGCATTTGTGGGAAAATTGCAACCCTTTATCATTTACCTTGTAAACAAAGATGCTTGAAACACGATTGATGAATTGATGAACACAGACAGTCAATGAGTTAAACGATTCAGAACAAACGACATATTTTCCATTAGGAGGTCCTGAACAAGCGTCTGTTTGTTTTGGATTGCACCGCTGCATGGCTATGTGACATCAACCCTCAAATGATGCTTTTGACTTTTACAAGCGTCTGTGGGAAGTGCAAGGGCAGGGGTGAGGTCAAAGGTCATGCGTGGCGGTGCTATGCATTTCTCTGGAGCGCACAACAGTTGCTGACCTGCTTAGTGATGCTTTCCTCAGGGAACTCATTAGCTGCTATTCAGACAGCAGCTACAAGAGAGCACATGCAAGAACAAGCAAAACTTTTAGTCTTTAACCAAAATATGTTGAACTGCCAAGATTGAATCTTTCAATCACTAATGTATCAGATTTTTTTTCTGTTCTTCAAATATTTAATGTAAAAAGTAGCAATCAGATTGACAAAATAATTACTTCTTTTGTACACTGGATTGTGTTTGACCATTCGTTGTACCTTCATCCTATTTTATTCCTCTGATCGTTTTTTATTGATCTATGATGGCAGATGAATTTAGGAGCTGCTTTATTTTAACTCCCGTTATCTTCACCGAGGCGTATTTCACTTCATTCTACGGGAAACAAACATTTAATTCTTTACAAAAACAACACATTATTATCAATAGTAACAACAGAGAGCAAATCTGGCTGGTCAGCCCTGGTCTAAGACGGATCTGATGTTTCGATTGTCCGCTCCAGTGAGGCCCTTTTTCCATTATCAGCCTCTTTAATGTGACTTTCAAATGTAAAAGAATGCAATTATCTGCTGTCTGATTGGGAGGTCAGTCTGAAAATTACATTTGGAAGAGTGTAAGTGGGTGAGGGTTGTTAAGGTATGCAGCTTTTTGGTCTTTTGGGTGTCTGTTCTCAAGCGGGTTGGTGTCAGTCATTTTAATTGTTAAGCGGCATAATCAGGGGTTTTCAGAGCACTGCTAGATTCTGTCATCTTTGTATGTTAAATATGCCCAAGTTTTTATGTTAAAAAACCCTTTAATCAAATGCATATCTTGGGGAGCTTTTTTTTCTTATAACACTACCGTAATTTCCTGTCTATAAGCCGCTTCTTTTTCCACAGGCTTTGAACCCCACAGCTTATACAATGATGTGGCTAATTTATGTTTTTTTTTTTTTTGACTGACTAACGTCAAAAAACGTCATGCCGCCAATACATTTAGCCTCGTCACACCTGGGCGCTCGCGTAGCTGCCCAATACTCGTCTCTCTTGTGGGGTTGGTCCTCGTCAATCAATGGGCCTACATGTATAAATAAAGGTTAAAAAAAAAAAATCCGCCCAATGAAATTACTGAACATCTCACAGTGGACCAATGAAACTTTGAATTACCGTAAATCAAACACACTCACACAGTTCTTCAGATCAGTTATTTTACGCTTCATGTTAGGGATGCACCGATTGCAGTTTTCTGGCTGATCACCGATCTCTAAAAAGTCTGACCTGCCAATTCCGATTTTGGTCGATATCAATTTTGTTTTATAAGCGACACTGTTGAGTGTTATAAGGTCACAATGCACCTTCAATTTTTCAATATTATTTTATCAAAAAAACATACCCTTGAACAATATCCTCGAAATAATACAAACTTGTTTGAACTGCACATGAGGTAGTGCTCTGAAATATAAATAAATACTTTATACATCCCAAAGGGAAATTAATTGTTGTTGTAGCTCATCATTCTGGTTTCATTAGAGTTGTTATAGATGCTGATGGCTTTGGGCAGGAAGGATCTGCAGCAGTCCATCCCACAGCAGATCCGAAGAAACAGGCTGCAGATGCCGATCCGTCCACCCAGACCCAGCAGACCTCTCAGTCCTCTTGGGCATCAGGACAGCCGGAATGCTGGGCAGAACTCCTCCCCAAGCAATGGCCATTTCTCCCAGCAGCCTGCTAAGACCCTCGTCACCGCGGACTTAACTGCAGGTGCAGGGTACGATCTCAGCTCTCCCACTGTCAAGAGCCGTGTTTCCTGCTATCTCCAAGATCTTGGCAGTCAGGCAGTCAGGCACTCGAGCACCGCCTCCAGGTAGACGGAAATGCATCCACGGTGCCTCCTTTTCAACTCATTTGGGATTTGGGGCTGTAGTTGAGGTATTATTTGAGCTTTTGAGATGTTAATCAGCTGCTCCCGGTTGTGGAAAACCACCTTGTTGTCATGGTTACGCATCATAACAAATGTCCAAAAGTGAAAAAGGTTTCAATAAAAATCCTTCTAGCGGCACAGCATCTGATAACAGAAGAAGTAATCGTCCAAAAAAAGCCTTTTACATCCAGAAAAAAGAGGAATTAAAGTTTTCAAAAGCGAAATCTCAGAATGAATGTAAGAGAGCTACTCCAACATGCAGCCACCTTGAGCGGCGCAATTCTAGAACAATTGTTGTTAAAATTACAAAAAAATGGTAAAATTGATTTCTCATGTAAGTATCGGTCGATCTTTGATCTCCCAAAGTTAAGGAAATCAGGGCTCATTTATTGGTGCACCCCTACTTCATGCATGCACCCTCAATATGGAAAACGCATGCAGAAATGCATGTGATGCAACTTTCAAGTTAAAGGTGATTGAACTGGCTGTCGTAGAAGAAAATAGAGCTGCCTGTATATGTACAAATTTAATTAAATTTAATTTAGTGGGCGTGGCTTATGGCTGCGCTCAATAGTTCAGAAATTATGGTACATTTAGGCCACAGTAATGCAGCTTTCCCAAAACAGTCTTTTTCTTGTCATTTCTAAAAAATAAAATCACCAAACATCAAAAAGCAGTAACTATGCCGGGAAGGTAGGGGGCGCTGTAAACTAGCATCTCTGACACTGTTCTACTTTAAAGCGGTCGTGAATTGTTACGTTTTTATGTGCGTGCACTCTCTGCTTCAACATCTAGCTTCTCAGAGCAGTTCTTCTTCTACGCTTGTTTTGATGGTTTGTCTTCTCGTTCAGTTGTGTCAAATCAAAATCAAAGGCGCAAAAATTCACAGGGACGGATTTGAGGTTGAGAAATATTCGTAGATTTGATGCACCAAGCCGCTGCGTTCTTAGTGTGTTTAGTACATTGGTACAGTTAGTACCAAATGTACCAAAGTTAAGGGAGAGTTTGGACTCTTACTTCAAGAGTCGAGTGTTTTTTTTTATTTTTTTAAACAGTTTGATGTAAAAGCAGCCAGCTGTGGCCTTAGTGTCAAATTGGTGATTAATTTCTGGTATTATATGACTGAACTGTCACCCCAAGGTAATTATATAAAGAAACCGTGATGAGCAAAGAAAGAGGTATCTTCACTTTAATCAACTGTATCAAAAATACATGTAAATTAAATGATTTGCATGTTTAGAAAACGATTAAATGAAGAAATCCCGAGGTAGTTTTGTTGCTATGATTTACCTATTTTTTTACGTGTTCATTCATTATTTAAAAATTCTTTTAAAAAGTTTTTTTTTTTTTTGACCAGACAAGGAGATGTTATCATGGACTATTCGTCTTTCCATGAGGTCAGAATGTGTCCTCTGGCCCCGAGCTCAGTCTTGAATCGTTGGGATCCTGGTCTGTCTGTCAGACCCCCCCCCCCCCCACACACACACACACACACACTCACACACACTCACACACACTCAGGGCCATCCTGACCCTAAACATTACACTTTCCCCAGATAAGAAGCTAATGAGCTGAAACGCTCACAACATAGAAAGTTTGAAGGATGATACAAGTGGGTTTTGTATTTTTTTAGTTACTGAGCCTTGGATTTCCCAAAAGAGGCAGAAATCTTTGTTCAGCAGGACAAACAGCCTCTGTGCTGGAGCACAAGTGCAAATGAAAACCATGTAAAACATTTAAGACTCTTTTCTCCTTCTCTTTACAGTGGTCTAATATTTATTGAGTTGCTCAGCGCTGAGCTTTACTTTACATTTTGTTAATGTCCATTGCTTAAAAGTTAATTTCATGTTTCTGTGTATTTTGAAATAAGAAATCTGAATAATATTTTTCACATTTCTATATATTTTTAAAATAAATATGAAAAAAAAAGGTCATTTGATCAGTTTATTTTTTATTGTGGACTATAAATTGAATTGGACCTCATGATTTCTATGGTTTTATTGAGTAGGTAAAAGGTCATGTAAAGTTGAAGAGCATTTCTAATGTCTGAAGTAGGGATGCACAATATTGGATTTTTGGCCAATATGCCGATATGTTAAAACTTATTTGGCCGATAACCGATGCCGATACCGATATTTTATATACGTTCCTTTGTCAGAACATTTCCCTCTTATTTAGGCTTATTTGCTACAAAAATTGTGCAACAGCTGTAAGAGCTGGTGACATATATTGAGTAACAGTCAAATGATATGCATAGCACTTTAACTTATATTAAATAAAAAAGTTTTAAATATTATTTATTCACATCAGTCACCTGCGATGCTGTCTCACTTGTGGAGGTTTGTTCCAGGTTCCTATAGCTGCAGTGTGGGATCCTCTGCACTCCTGTGCATGAAGGACAGACTTTTTAAATTAAAAGTTTTTATCTATCCATTGTGCCGTAAGACTAATCATGCTAACGGGGCTAACACGACGTTCGAATGTCTGCGGTAAAACTCACCCAAGTGCTATCAGCTATTAGCTTCTCAATGACGTTGAAAATGACAGCTTGTGACTCGGGTAACGTTACGTCGGAAAAATATCTCCGACTGGGGTCGATGTAGCGAGGCTCAACTTAGTCCATAAATCTTCAGAATCCGACATCCTCACCGACGGAAAATAAAACTTCCACACCGCCATCATTTTGAATTTTCCTCTCCGTCGTGAGATCAGGTAGGCGCACGTGACATCATCACGTTGTGCTGCCGCTGCAGGTAAAAACAGCGCTTTTTATACCTGAGAGTTATTTTAATGGAATGGCCGATGTCCGATATTGAACTTTAACGCTAATATTTGCTGATACCTATACCATGCCGATAATATTGTGCATCCCTAGTCTGAAGTGTCTCACGAGGAATCAGAAAGGAGCGAGTTAGGTTTGTTGTAATATCCTGTTTCTTAACATATTGGTAAAATCTCATCTTGTTTCATCTCAATAAACCCCCTTTTCTAGGGCATGCATTTAAAGAAATTTGTTTTTTAATAGTCGTTTGGCATTAGCCCTCGTCAGCAGGTCATAAAGGTTAGTTTGTAGAGACTTGCTTCATGTAGGTCACTGACCGGAGAGACCCCCAGGCCAGATTATTTGTTTTGTCAAACTTTTTAACGACTCTTTTGAGAACTCTGGTGGTAAATGTTGAAACAGTCACAAGAAAACTTATTTTCTGTGACGTCGCTGGTTTTCATTCGAGCCTCTTCAGTGGCTAACGGTGAAAATGTGATTCTTCAGTTCTTTCCCTTTAAAAACCTAAACCCCTCCGTATGTTCTTTGCTTTTACAAGAACCATTATGAGTTTCTAAAGACACGCAGTCCTTTCATAATTAAAATCAAAGTGTTTTTTTTTTTTTTCTTTTCTTGGTGTTTATCTTTGTATCTAAATGTACAGTTATCTTTTAGGTTTGCTGTATTTGTTTCCAAGTGTCCGGGCCTTGCAGGTTTACGTGTCAGTTCTTGCTCGCTGGTATGCGTGAACATTTACTTCCCAAAGAGCACATGACCATAGGTGTTGAGAGCTTTAAGAGCGTGCACTTCCAGCTACAGAGTTTATTGACAGAAGAGAAGGAGCCGTGCACAGAGAGCAGTTGGAAAGGAAAGGCCAAGAATTGACTAAAGACACACTAACAGCTTGGAACAAATCCCCCAAATCCATGTTTTATCATAAATTAGTGTGAAATATTGAGTCATTTGTACTAGTACAGCTGTGCTAACTCTAATAATGACCCTACAAGTTATGACTAATAGATTTTTTATTTAACTCTTGCCTTTTAAAAAGATAAAAGCAGGACGTAATAAATGAAGCGTTAGCTGAGTATCATGTCCCAACAGGATTTTTACTATTCACATCATCATTACACTTGAATCGCTGTAATATCTGGCATTCAGTCTCATAAAGAAAATCATTATCACTCATGGCCATAAAAGGCAGGTAAGTGTCTGTTTGTTAGCAAAATATCTAACGAGCTAATCAACTGAATTTTTTTTAAACACTCAGAAAATAGTCATTAGATGTTTATCTTCAAGTTTTTATCTTTTGGGGTCAGCTTGATTCAAAATGGCTTCCGCAGCTACATGACATTAGCTATAACGCCGTCAGTTTGACAGATATTGAGCTCAGATTTAGCGTGGTAGTAGCTGAGATTACGTAATTCAAACACCAACAGATTGTGCAAAATCTTTAATAAAAGAATTGTTTAATGTTGACGTCATCCCTCTTTGTCTTTTAGCTAAATATCTTATAAACCAGTGAACACATTTTTCACTAAACTATAATTATTGGACAAAACGACTACAGTTTTGGTTTAATCTGGTTTATGATTGAGCTTTATAAACACAAAAATCGATCTAATACGGTTATTTTTCTAGACGTTGAGCTACAACTTGGTGTGGTAGTAGCTGAGAGTCGTCTCCATCACATATTCTAAGGGCAGTGAAGTGAAGTGGAGACAAATGCATAGATAAGTGACTTTATTACAAAACAGAAGAACAGTTTTTAATGTATTTGGCATGCCGAACTAACTCAGGGTTCATGTGATCACATTTCACTTTACGCTCATCAGTTGGACTCTGTGTGTGTGTGTGTGTGTGTCTTTGTACGAAGCATTCAATGGATTTTCTTTCTGACTGACAGCGATTTGCTTTAACTTGTGTGTAAGATTATTACAGCCCAGAGGCACATTTATCAAGTTGCACGTTTTGGCAGTCTGGTTGTTCCTCTCAGACGGTGTTCGGTACTTTTAAAAATTTTTTCTTTGGCAGTGATTTTTTTCTCGTTCACGCAGACACACAAACTCAAAGCTTGCTGCCTTTTAAGCGACTTTGTTGGAACCCGACCAAAGGTCGCTGGAACGATCCGAGACCCTTTTTCTTCCCGCAGGCCCAAACTTAGCTCAGCCTCAGCATGTCCAGC